GTGTGTGTGTGTGTGTGTGTGTGTGTGTGTGTGTTTGTTGATTCAGATCTCACTCCTGTACTTCTGATTACACTGGTTCTGCTCTTTCCATTTTCTCTTCTGCATCTCTGGGTGCTGTACTTGCTTTTCCCCAATGTACAAACAGGAACAAACTTTTGGAAAAAAAAGAGAAAAAAATCTAAGGTCTGTATTTGTATATACATGTGTCTGAACAACTATAAATAATTAAATAAATAAAAAAATACATTGCTTGGCTGGTTTATTGTGCCCGTTTAGTCGGGGCAAGTTGTCACACTCCTATGAATATTTCTCAGGGTAGAATTATAATTGTTTATATTTTTGGTGTAGACACAAACGTTAAAGTTTTGACTGCAAAATAGCTTTTGAATATTTTTATTACATTAATGACCATGAAAAAATATATTGACTTCAGTGGGAACCTGCTGTTAATTTGAGAATATGATTGTTTGACATAAAACTATCTATCAATGAAATGTATGAAATAGCAAAATAGGAAAAGTTGATATATACTGTAACATAAAGAGCGCTGTAATGATCTCCATTAGGACACTTTTAGACTCACTGACAGATTCAAGTGATTCACTTTGAGTCACTTCAGCTCGATGAAAAGATCGCAAATCATCTTATTAATGCATTATATGAAGGAAAAAGCACTGAATTGTCTAAATACGTTCTCAATACTTTTCATGACGTGAATAATAGACCATTTGGTTCATGCTCCATATATGCCACACTTTCAAGAAAATGGCTTTTTTACATTTTCTCATTTCATTTGAAAAGGTTACCATTGAAAAATGAATCACTGGGCTCATTTTGATGAGGCCTGTATAAATGTGAACAATGGATACTGATAAAGACTAAAAGAACTGCTCCCGCTGGAATCATTTAGTCAGAAAAGCATGAAGAAAAACTGCACAATAAGCATGCATATTAATTTTAACAAAAGCAAAATGAAGTACAACTGATTTTATTGAAGCTTATTAAAATGTAATAATGGGGACATGAAAAATGTCTGATATTTCAAGAAAAAAAGCTACAAATAAATTCATGCTTTGTTAAAGTTATTATGCATTACACACTAAAGGTATAGGCAAGGCAATTGCATTCATATAGCACAAAGATCATCTACAGTGCTTTACTGTACATAAAAGTGATTAAACAATTAATCGTAATAAAAGGTACATAGTAATAAAAATTAAATTCAGTAATAAATTGATACAGTGCGATCATTAGGACACTGCAAAGTTGATAATGCCACATACCATCTAATGCTTATATTTAAGGCAAGACACAACATTGTTTTTTCATGCATTGGTCAGTTTTAAAATGTTGGGAAAACATCCCAAATACACATTTATATGTCTATTTTAATGTGCTTTACAATACGCCTATTTAATGGCCGTTTTCTCAAAATGAGTTTTATCTCCACTTCAGCAGCACTGAAACAATGGCGGACTGATGATAGCTCACTCAGGGCGGGTCTAAGGTAAGACACCAGTCCAGTCTGTGCTGAAACGCTACTGTCAATCAAACTATCATGGGAGGGGCCTGTCTGTGTGACATCACACAGACAGGCATCTGAGATCGGCTCGATTTGAGAAAGGGGTAAACATTTAACCAGATTTAAAAAAAAACACTGGGTGGATTTTTATCATTATAGGGTGGTTGTGTACACACACTGCCAAAACACATTTCAGTTCAAACAACTTGTAAATGTGCATGTAGCATCCTATGACCCCTTTAACATGAAGGAACGTAAAGAAAATGCTATACTGAATTTTGCATGTTCAGAAGAGATAGTTTTCATAAGAGATAGCTCTTATTCCCTAAAGTAATGCATCAACAGTCAACATACACACTGGACACTTGTGAAGGTTAATGCTGATGGACTGGTAAAGATGAACAGGGTTTATCAGTTTAGTCTGAAGACATCATTAGGTAGTGAAGCGAGCGTGAGCGTCTCTCAGGCTTTGTGACCGCGGGTCATAAATTTGATTCTAATGATTTTGTCATTCCATTCAAACAATAACTCTCCAGCACACGCTTTTATTTGACCGCTGATTTATGCCTTTAATACTTTGATGGCAAAAATAGTTTAACTCCACTCCGTAACAATGCGGGGAATGGAATATTGGCACAATTCATTTTTCAGATTTAATTAGTTTATTTTATAACGCTATCCATCAGCATTGTGGAGATATATACAAGGAATATATGGCAGAGCAGAACGTATTGAGAGGAATATGTTTTACAGTTGGTTTCCTGTGAAATAAATGTTTGAATCATTCATGAGCCCTTCATAACTTGAATTATATTCTTAGGCTTGTTATAATTTATACCAAGCCTCGAACCTTCATTTGAAATCTCAGATGTCATATTTAAAAAATCAATTAGATAATTGTCTAAATTACTTCTCATTTAAAAAAAAAATACTTTGTCATTCATTTATCTGTTATGAAGTCTTATGTAAATATAAATTAAATAATGCAATCATGTCAACAGAACTAATTTTGTTCCCAAAATCACAATCATACAAATCCATAATTTGTGAAATTATACTTTAGACTTTGAGACTTTTTAAATATTGTTGTACACAGGGTTATTATAGTTATGTAAAACTAAAACCATAAAACAATTTTTGTAATAATCTTTCACTGAAATAATCAAATAAAATAATAAGCCAAGGCAACATTTCTCATTTTAATTTTGTTTAACTTGATGTATAAAATAACTAAAACAAAAATGGATAAAAACTATATTAGACATATTTAAACAAAACAAAAAAATACTGATAAAATGACAAAAACACTACAAAATTACTAAAACTTCAACTAAAGCTAAAATGAAAACACAAAAATTAAAAATAAAAACTATATTAATAAAATATTAATTAAGAACTATAATAGTATCAATGATACTAAAAATAACCCTGGTTGTAATATCCTAAACAATTTTGTAATAGATTTATTAAAGTAAATGCAGATACAAGCTGTAACAATACTGAACATGACTAAACCAACACTACACTTCTGGGGCTAAACAGCTCAACAACAGCAACACACAATATTACGGTGAAATATAAACCTTTATGTAGACAAAAGCAATAATGTTAATGCTGAGATTAGATCATTCAGGCAATTAAAGCACCAATGCGAGCGGTTCATCAAACGCCCGCTGATCTTGGCCGCTTTCATCAGCACAAATTCAGCGCAGATGGAGAGATGTGAGTTATGATGGGGATTTTACACGTGAATCTTACCCAGAAGCCTGTCATATGGAGTGGTTCGCCTTCTTCTGTGTTGGGAGGATAAGAAAACACCAGCCAGGAGTTTCACTGTAATGAAAAGATGGGAACAGAGAACTGATTTCTCACTTTATTTTATTTTTCTTGCATCTATTATTGTACTAGTGATATTGTATTTATTTTTCAAATGCTTTTACAATACAAATGTACTATAAAACTGAACTGAGTCTGTACTTTTGTAACATGACAAGTCAAAAAATAAATAAATAAAAATTTTAATTAAACAATTAATAAAAATAAAAATTCTCTCATTTAATTTGTCATTATGAATTACCCTTTTTTTTAATCATACAAAAAGTGTCTAGAACATTAGATAATGTTTATTGTTTATTGTAATATTTGTAGATTTTGTTAAAAAAATTTAAGTCCAGTATTTTTTAGTATTTTTAATTTGAAATATTATTTAATTTACTAATGTATAATAACAATTTACAGAATAAATTATGAATAATAAACATTATAATAAAGTGTGTGTGTGTGTGTGTGTGTGTGTATATATTTTTTTGTTCAAGAGCCTCATTAAGAATAAAATTCTTAAAAAATAAAACTATATTAAGTAGTCTGGCATTATCTGTTGCTGTTATTTCTTGGGGAAATAAAATAAAATAAAATAAAATAAAATAAAATAAAATAAAATGAAGACAAAGTGATAGGAAGTTTCTACAAAAGTTTTTGGTGTTTTTGTGCCATATTCCTTATTTGTGACTGACCTCGGAGAGGTCAAAGGTTCAGAAGGTCACGGATGACAGCAGCGGTGAGGTGAAGACTGAAGTGTCCTGCTGATTTTTCAGGGAGTCTGCAGGTTTTCAGTTTCTCCTTCAGGATATAAGAAGAGCTCTTCACCGCATGGCCTTCAAGAACTAATGTGAGATAAAAGCAGAATCATGTGTGACTAAAGCATCGGTGAGCTGCTGCGAACGGCTTCAGGAGATTACAGCAGATTACAACATTTATTAGCTTTACTTTTTCAAAGAGCAACTCCATCTCAAACACCCTTATCAAGCATATAATCATATCAGGGCATCAATCCACATTTTACATGAAACTTTCCACCCTGACTCATATTTGTGTCTGGCACGGAAGAACGGATTTCTGAAATTAGAAATCGAATCTTGGGAAGGTTTTTCAGGTTTTTCCAAATCCTGTGAAATGCCATCAATGAAATTTAATTGTCTTGAGGCTTTACAGGAAAGCGTAGGGAAAAAGATCTGGAATAGCGATTAGTGTTTAATCATGACCTTTATAACAAATATTTGGGTCAAATCTATTTACCTACAAGATGAATTACCTGCAGAAATCTACAAATAATCCTGTAGATGCTGTTTTATTGCAACTAGCTAAACAAAAGTGTAATTTTTTATTGTATTTATATTTCACTTTATTCTTTTATTTTATTGTATTTCAATTGTTCAAATTTTATTTTGGCAACTAGCTGAAAAAAGTGTTTTATTTTTAATTTAATTTTTTTTTATTTCTATATCTATTTCATTTAATTTTATTGTATTTCAGTTGTTTAAATGCTGCTTTGTCAACTAAATGAAAAT